ACTAACACAGCCTACTCACACTCATGCATCCACCTTGCACTCACGCATCCTACTCACACTCACGGATCCACCTCGCACTCACACATCAAACTCAGAGTCTCTCTACAGGCGCCACTGTTGTTGCTAAGTCAGTTTCATTGTCTAAATGAAATTTGCATCCCATTACCATAATGCTTTGCATTTCAATGTGCCTTTTAAAACTATGACTTCACATTACAATTCAATACGATACGGCCTTTAAAATGAACGCTAATGGGTAGTGCTTCTCCGAATCCAATAACCCCGATCTCTGGCGTTGGGATGCAGAGCGGAGTGGGGTGAGGGGAGCCACCACATGTGATGTTACAAAGGACCTGTCCGGCGTCCCATTTCACCTCCCTCCAATGAACGTTGGAAAAGCCCCAAGTAGCAGCATTCTCCTTTGAGCTGCAGCCAGGGATAAACCCTTCATTGCTCTACTGACACTAGAAGGGAAAGGCGAAAAGCAGCAGTCCTGCGAGTGACAAGCTGTCTCCCTCTCAAGATGCTAATCGGGAATGTCGAAAGGAGAGAACGCTGCTGGGCCGAGGAGCTGGCCCCTAGACTCTAGAGCCTGAAGCTAGCAGCAGAGCCCCCGGCTCATGGGAGGACGTCATTCTGAGCCTCCTGGCCAGTAGCAATCCAAAGGCACTTTATTACCAGCGCCCAGGAATGCGGGGCTGTATGCGCAGCCCCGAAAATGAAGCCCTCAGAGCAGGTAGAGTGAGGGCAGTGTCCGGGCAAGCTTCGCCCATGCACTGCCACCTGCCAGTGCACACCCAGCCCTTCAGCAGGGGCCCTCTAGGAACGTCCCTCGGGTAGACCTGCCTAGCAGCTGTCTCTCTGACGTTCCTGTTGGGAGCTCCCACCCAGGAGATGTTTACCCCCATGTTCTGGACACATTTCCTAGTGACCATCTGTGCCCCATCTCCCTAAATTCCCTCTGTAGTTCCCACTGGATACAGAAGCCTCCATTCTTGTCCGACACTCTTCGGTGGCATTGCAATAGTCAGTGACACAGCTGCCACATTCCACCCCAAAGGCGGCTGCATTTGGGTTTGTTATATTGGGGATCCCTGGGGATGAAAGGGGCTAGCAAAGTGAAAGGCCCCCATTCGTGAGCTATACGTTGTGCAGCAGCTGGCTGGCCTCTCGGTTGTAGGGGGGTCTCTGCCAGGCTGGGGAGAGGAAAGCACTTCCTGAGGGCTCTGGCTGTGAGATCAGCTTCCCCTTTGTGCCCATGGTCCTGCGCTGACTATGTGACTGCCCTCTCTAAACTGTTGCACGCAGCCACGTACTCCTGGTGACCACCCCCTCCAGGTGGATAACGTTGGGGTGGTCGAACTGCGCCATGATGCTGGCCTCGCTCAGGAAGTCCCGTCTCTGCTTCTCCGTGTAACCTGCTTTCAAAGCCTTGATGGCCACGGGAAGCTCCCTCTTCCCTGGCACTTTCAGGTGGCCATAACACACCTCCCCAGATTCTCCTGCAAAGCAAGAAAAGACAAGGGAAAGGGCTTAGCTTCTCAATTCACTGCAGCCTCCTGGCACCCCACCAAATCCACACTCCTTCTGCCACTAGGCTAAATACATGTCCAGAGCTAACAGCGAGGGGTCTGTTTTCTAAAGCCAATAAGGCGGCTGCAGCATGGTCCAGTGCTTAGGGAGTCAGGCCTCCTGGGTTCTATTTCCTACCACTGACTCAGCGTAAGGAATCATTGCCTGGCTCTGTGCCTCGGAGGCAGAAAGACTCTCACATAGCAATGATGAAGTGTGCTAAGCACGTCCTATTATGGGATTCCCAACTTCCCGCCCAACAATGTGGGTACAAAGCCAGGTGAAAAGCAAGAGCAGGGCTGGTTTAGTGAGAATTCCCAGCACCTCCCAGGCAGCTCTGAGCCCTCGCATCCTGGCTGGTTCTGTGCAATTGCCAAGCAGAAAGGTACTCAGACTTTGTGCACCGTTGGATGCCATGGGTGTCACCAGCAGCTGACAGCTCACTCGCTCGCCCTCTCTCTTGTGCGCTTGCCTTCCAAGCCCCTATTCTCAGCTGATATCACTTTTCAGAAAAAAAATCAACATTTTTGCTGAAATGGCTCAAGTGTCTTCTCAGCCCAGACATGAACTTTGGGGGTGAAATTCAAGGTAGCAGCGGAGGAGACACCCGTGCCTGGACAGCCAGACCTTCAGCTGGCGCAAGTCAGTGGCGTTCCATTGGCTGCAGCTGAGCGACACGGATTAACGCCAGCTGAGCATCTGGCTCCGGACGGTTCACTTCATGCATTAAAGAATTCTGCACATGCTTTTTGTGCTCAGAAAGCTACGGAAGGGCTCAAACCCGCACTGAGGATCATCACAACACTCAGCACGACCTGTATTTATTTAGCCCGTCGCATCTCCAGAGTACTGCACAAACATTGGCACCAGAGCCCCGGGGGAAGAAATGGGTTTCCGAAGGAAGTTCGAAGGGTGTGAAATGCACAGAGCCAGGGCACTCACCGGACCCAATGACTTTCTCAATTTTAATCCTGGAGGCCTCGATCTCTCGTGTGAACTCGTGCACGGCTTGGCAGGGGTCCTCGTACGTGTGAGGGTCCACGTAGAACTTTGACGCGGGGAACTTCACTGTTCGAGTTCAGTGGGGAAAGAAAAAGCGAGATCATTCCAACAGCAAACAGCAATGCCGTCTGGGAGCCAGAGAGGCGGCAGGAATCCAAGCCCCAAAAGCAGTGTTGCAGACTCCTTAGGGCCACATACAGAGGAGAGATGCCCCAGTGGGGGCCTGCTCTCTGGCACCCAACTCCAGGAAAGCTAAATGCCCCCTTCAGAACACAGACCTCTCCAGCCCAGCCCAAGGGCCCAGACACCCAGAGGGACAAGGAAAATCACCTGATACCAGGAGTAGCTAGCCCAGAACTCAGCCCCTGTGGGGAGGCAGAGAACAGCTCACCCCAGACACATCTCCATGGGGACTTGGATTTTCCGCCTTGTGTAGGCCCCTGTTAGTTGCATTTCCCATTGCCCCTTTCTCCCAGGCTGTGAGTATGTGAGTTACACCCGCTCGGCCCCCGTGTGCCATGAACCGATGAGTCACTGACACACTACCCCCCTCCCCTTGAAACTCAGACCCTTGTCTCTACACCCAGCGCTGTCAGCCCTACTCGCGGCAGCCTGGCCCCAACACAGCTGGCTTCTCTACATTCACAACAGCAAGGGGTTGCTGGATGCCTGCTCCCAGGAACCCGCTCTTCTGGCGTTGAGAGTGAATGCACCCAGCACCGCCGCAGCTGCCAGTCCCATGACTTTCGCTGACGCCTGGGGCTCCACACGCTCGGTGCACTGAAGACAAGAGTAGAGCCAGCCATGCACCTACCCTGGCCATTCTGATAGTGCATCTTCTCCTCATCTGAGTCCTGGAAAGCCTTGCTGTAACCACAGTGCCTGCCATGGAGACACAAGAGGCAGAGGGGAGACTCCTGATACAGCAGCTCTGCCTCCCATCTCACATACACCCGCCCGCGGGTTACCGGGAAGGGCTGCAAGTGAGCAAGGCGCAGTACCACAGATTCACCCCGAAGCTGAGCTGGCGCTGACAGCGACTGCTGCAGCCCGTCCGTCGCTGACAGCAGCTGCACTGCGGATGTTCACCCCCACCTCCAGCTTTCCATCTGCCCAGAGCAGGATATCCTGTGTACCAGGTCCACGGTTCAACAGCCACCAGCTCCGAGAACACCAGCTCATTATGGCGGGGTGGCTACCCGCTCCAGCCCCGACAGGGTTAAAACCAGCCCGGGGAGAGGGCTGGAGGGCTGGGAGAACAGCCCAGGCTGAGTGGGAAGCAGGCTCAGCTGGGGCCACGCCCAATCAGGGCCCAGCTGGTCCTATAAAGGCTGGGAGCCAGGAGCTCAGACAGTCTCTCTCTGTCTGTAGAGGGAGACGGGCCTGTTTGCAGGGAGCTAGAGACAGGGTACCTGAGTAGAGCAGGGCTGGGGAAAGGCAGAGGAGCCGGGGAGCTCCAGCCTGGAAAGCCCCAGGCTGCGGCCTAGCATAAGGCCAACAGGTACTGGGGGTTGCAGAGGGCAGCCCAGGGCTAGGCCAAGGCAGCAGGTCCAAACCCAACCTTGCCAGTGATGAGTGGCTGATACTGCAGTCTGCCCCAGGGCGTGGGGGCTAGACGATGACTGGCAGTAGCCTTATACTGAGGAGAGGTGGGGATAGTGGGTGGGGGTTTCCCGGGGAGGGGAGACCCTGAGAGAAAGGGGTTACTGCCAGGAGGCAGCACCCCAGCTAACAGGGCACCAGAGAACAGGGAGGGACACAGGGGCTAAGTGGCAGTGGGACACCGACCTGCAGAGGGCGCTCCAGAGCTGGGATGACCTAATTCCCGAGGACAACCAGCAGGAGGTGCCGCAGGGGTGAGTCTACACCCTTACACCATCCATCCCCACGTCTCACAATGATAATCTGCTCTTCCCTGCTCTGGGTTTGTCCGCGGCACGTGACCTGTAGCCCCATCGCAGTCTGGCAGCCCTTCTGGTCAACCTCGCTTTAGGGTCCAGACAAGGTGTTTTTGTGGCTTCTGTATCTCTAGACCACACGTTACACGAACCTGCCTAATGACACTGTCACTGTAGAGCATTTTGAAATATCGACATTTCATCCCACCCTCACCAGCCCCCCATAACCAGCAGGAGTTCACATGATCTGGAGCAGACAGAATCAAAGCAAAAGAGTCCTAATATATGAAATCCACGTATTTAACATTTGCAATCTCAATTAATAACAACACATATTTGAATGATAGGGGCACATGGGGCAGAGGGTTGGGGGTATAGCACAGACCTTAACTGTCATTTGAGACAGTGACCACTTTTTATTATGTGAAAAATATTCAACAAATCATAAATGTATCTATTCAGCAAAATGACAAATATAATAATAATTGTAACCAAATACTTCATGTTGGAGTCATTATAAACAATTACTGGTGTTTTGTCTCATTCCAACAATTGAGTGTCCCAACGTGAGTAATACAGGTCACTACTTGCCATCCCTGTTTTCATCTGCAAATGCTAACGCTGATTTTGTCAGGTCACTATAACACTCCACACCTCCAGGGCATGCCCAGAATATGGTTCCTGGCAATCTGGCTCATAGATTTACAAGGTCCATTACCCTTGATTCACTTCAAAATATCTGTGTGCCATTGTCTGGTGCAGTTTTTGGAAATGGAGACTTGGAACTGTCATTGCGTATCCATCCACACTGCAGTGCACCTGAATATGTGCTTATTTGACATTTCCTATAAGTGCTTCCCTTGGTGGTGGTAAAGAGCTGAGCTTTGGTTTTGATATAGTACCTTTGCCAGTTTTCCCTGCCCATGATTTCTGCCATGCTTCTAACATGGAGGCACAGTTTGATTGTCTGTAGCATGCAGCCAGGAATTTGGGTGCCTGTTCAGTGTCATCGATGTCACCCAGCGGAGAGAGGGAGTACCCAGCTTGCAGAATTTTCAACAGAGTAATTCTGATGAGGCCAAAATAGGAAGCCACTGTATCACCGCCTGAGAGCGCACGGACAGCTAACAGCCCTGGTCCCATGTTCCGGTGTTGCTCTGCAGAGCACGGATGTCTATTACAGCTCTCTCTTGGACTCGGGGTTCCATAATCACTAAATATGTTAGGCTCTGTTCAAGGTAATGATGCAAGAGTAAGAGAAATACGTCAATGTCATCTGATAATACCGACTTTTCCACCACTTTCTCTTTTGCTATCATCACTGTTTGATGTCTGAGGATGTTCTTTGCTGCCTCATGTGAGGTGGCCATATCTCCTCTGTTGACCACCACACCCCCCTGGTTTATTTCAGCTCAGGTATTGTCTCTGTCTTTAATAATTCTGCACAAATGATGCCAATCAAACTCTTTCTTATTTTCATTAACTGTCGAGACAACTTTCTGTGGAGGTATCGATGCATTTGTCCTTAAATGATGCACTCTGCTTGCTCCAGTAGCTCTGCTCCATTTTGTGACACTCATTGTGCTGAAGGATTTGCACCTGTCCGAGACAAGGTATACATCACCTGCTGCTAGCTCGTGTTCAGTGTAGATTCTGAAATTTGTCACAAAGCCCTTGAGGATACCACGTGCTGGCAAGTGTACAGCAGAACCGTCAGTGACTGTGCAGGGGACTTCTTAGGAAGGATGTCTAGCTGACACCTCTGTCTGCAGCTGCTTCTTTAGCTTAGATTTAGCCTTGGCAATCCTGTCACCAGAGGCAGTGAACGTTGATGTCGGTACAGGAACCAATCACCTGTCAAAATATTCTGGATCTCAACCTCTCATGAACTTGCTTGTAAGCCTTCAATAGATAAGCTCAGCATCAAATATCTTTGTTGGACCAACCCGTGCATTTTGCACTGCCAGTGTCTCTGCTCTCCTCGGTATTGTCTCCCAGAACCCTGGGGGCGGGCCAGCAATGTTCCGATTCATGCATTTGGAAAATTCCAGCTGTAAGTGAGTTGTCTACACTGATGGTTGTGCCACTCTACCCTGCCAATATTTACTATTGCCTCTGAGTGCCTGTGACGTTATTGATATAATCTGGGACCATACAGAACATGGTTGCAACCAAAGTCCTGTAGTGGCACCAAATCTTGTATAAAGGGGGTCAAATGAGGTGTCTAAGATGAGGTTATGGTTGGCTGGTTATGATTATGCTGTCTATATGTGTGTATCAATTTTGTAGTTGAAGTTATAAATATTGGCTGTAAACTGTCTGTATTTCAAACTTATGCTATGCTTCTGGGAAACATCCCAGACAAGTTGGTGTTAGCTCTGCCTAGCCTGCTTGACGGCCCATTAAGGACCATCAGCTATACAACTGACCCATGGAGAGAAGGCAGATACGCCTTGTAACTCAGCAAAGTCTGCAGGAACTTGCCCATGTGACTCCAGACTCCATTTTGCTGTAATTTTCCACAGTAAGAACAAAGAGGTGTTTTTACACCTGGAAAAGACTATAAAAGGCTGATGCCTCATCTCCATCTTGTCTTCAATCCTGCTTCTTACCTCTGGAAGGACTTTGCTACAAACTGAAGCTCTACACAAAGGACTGATGACCCATCCCAGCTGGGGATGTATTCCAGAGACTTGATTTTGAACCTGCAGTTTATTTCATCACTGCTACAAGCCTGAACCAAGAACTTTGCCATTACTGTATGTAATTGATTCCATTTAACCAATTCTAGCTCTCATCTATATCTTTTTCCTTTTATGAATAAACCTTTAGATTTTAGGTTCTAAAGGATTGGCAACAGCGTGATTTGTGGGTAAGATCTGATTTGTATATTGACCTGGGTCTGGGGCTTGATTCTCTGGGATCAGGAGAACCTTTTTTCTTTTAATGGGGTATTGGTTTTCATAACCATTCGTCCCCATAACGAGTGGCACTGGTGGGGATACTGGGAAACTGGAGTGTCTAAGGGAATTGCTTGTGTGACTTGTGGTTAGCCAGTGGGGTGAGACCAAAGTCTTCTTTGTCTGGCTGGTTTGGTTTGCCTTAGAGGTGAAACAACCCCAGCCTAGGGCTGTAACTGCCCTGTTTTAAGCGATTTGTCCTGAATTGGCACTCTCCGTTGGGTCCTGCCAGAACCGCCTCGTTACAGTGCCGAGTGGCGTTTAAGGGATCAATGCACAGGTCTAGTTTCTTACTTATGGCTTCTCTGTATATTGCATCTGCAGCAATCCTCGACTTCATTTTGTCTACGTGGATCTCCTGTATTGTGTTTGGTGTGTGGTGAGTGTTTGATTTATAATTGATTGATGTCTATAATTGTCCAGTAGTTGAAAATTAACTCGCATGAGTGAAGATGTAAGAACTTGTTGTGAGCATGCTCAGAGAGTACAGGAAGAATATGCCTTCTGTCTCAGTTTGGGGGAGGAGGGCGTGTACTAGAAAGGTATACAGCTAATACCAACTGTAATACAGACAGCACCTATGTACTTCCTAGCTCCAGCACAAAACATTAGTGTGCAGTTTTCATTAAAAATATTTGAACTTCAATGAAAATGCTTTCACTGCCACCTGGCTTGTGATAAGTGCTCGTATTTCAAAATGCTCAACAGTGACAAGGTATCATCAGGCAGTTTCTTCCAACTTAGGGTCTTGAGATTCAGAAGCCACAAAAAAAAAACAACCTTACCCCAGCAGTGGTTGATTATTTTTTGTCAAAGTCCAAATGTCTTGGCCAAGGTACAGTCACAGTCCAGATTCCAGAGAAAATAATAAACAAACCAATAATGATAATAAATAAATGAAAAGATTTCAGGGTATGTTCAAAAGTGCCTGGCAGTCCAGATTTGGCCCATGGTCTGCCTGTTGACTGACTACCCCTGCCTTATACTGACACTAAAACACGGTACTAGCAAGGTGCTACCAAACTATTGCTTTCCCAACAGGCCTACTGCAGATCAGCTCCAGGTCCCCCTTCTCCTGAGGTGACCGGGAGCCCTGCTCTTGTCTATCTGAGCTAACTCTCCCCAGGACCACTCTGGTCTCTTAGCACAGGGGTTCTCCCAAGACATTTTTTGGTGGCCTTAGACTCCGGCCACCAACTCTTGCTGGTGGCTGCTCTGACAATTTTTCCTAAAATACTTAATTAACTTGAGGAAAAACAAATAAATATACACATATCCATGTCCAAATCATTGTCATTTATCTATGCAGGGTTTTTTCAGACTCAATAATACAAATAATGTACAGTTGTCTCTATTCTTTACTGGACCTAAACAGAATAGAAACAAAATAAGGCGCTTTGTACATTCTTCTCTTTTTTGTTGTTGTTTCTTTTGGGGTTTTGGTGGTTGTTTTTTGTTGTTGTTTTTTTTAAGACTTGCTAGCTAAGTAAGTCTGCTCCTGGGAAAACTGATATTTGTAGGTTTGTTAATATCGCCTTTCACAGCAAACTTACTCAGCCCTGGCAAGCCAGGGGACAAATTAAGCTCTGAATGGACAGGTGGGTAGGCAGGCAGCGGGGTCCAGGGGCAATGGAGGGCTGGGGAAGGCAGCGGGGGCCATGGGTGATGGGGAGGGGGGTGAGCCTGGGGCCAGAGCCCAAAGCCCTGCGTCTGGAACCCGAAACCCCACGGCCGGAGCCTGCCACCCGATGTCCTAGGGCAGAAGCCAGAAGCCCAAGCCCCACTACCCCTGGGAAAGGGGGGCACTCACCCTGGCTGCCTGCTCCTCTGCTGTTTGTGGCTCCAGAGGGGAGCAGGGCCCAACCTCTACTGGTGGCACTGGGGAAGGGGTGAATGCTTTGCCACTCCCCCCTCCAATCACTGCCCAGGAGGCTGTGGCCGCAAGAAAAACCCCTGGTGGTCACATGCGGCCACGGTGGCCGCATTTGAGAAATGCTGTCTTAGAACATTTCCTTGGTTTGCTTCCTGCTGCCTGCCATTCTGTCTCCACCACCCCTGCGCTCAGCGATGCTCCACTC